TGACATTATTTTCCTTATTCGTAACTGTGGAAAAATGAGTAGTCTACTTCAAACATGGCCACATTTGACTACAGAGGAAGTTGCTTTTCTTTCCAAGGTTTGCAAATCTGGATGTATTTATATTAAGGCGTTTCATTTCATCTTAGTTTCCTACCGGTTACAATTCAAACAGAACACATAATGTATTTGCTCTCCTTTATGAGAAAACCCTCCTCCTCACATACTATGATCCCAACGTGCTTTTATTTTAGGGCTTTAAAACCAACCTAATGGGGACTTCCCTGGTGGCGCAGTGGTTAAGAATCCACCTGCCAATGCAGGGGACTTAGGTTCGAGCCCTGGTCCGGGAAGATCCTACGTGCCTTCGAGCCCTGGTCCGCGAAGATCCCACCTGCCACAGAGCAACTAAGCCTGTGCGCCACAACTACTGAGCCTGAGTGCTGCACCTACTGAAGCCCTCACGCCTAGAGCTGGTGCTCTGCAACAAGAGAAGCCACTGCAACGAGAAGCCCACACACTGCAGTGAAGATCCAACGCAGCCAAAAGAAAAAAATTAAAATTAAATAATAAAAAAAATAAAGAATTATGTGAATCACTAAATAAATAAATAAATAAAATCAACCTAATGATTGGAGGTACAATAGAAGAGTTTTTCTTCTTCTGCCAATGGTATAATTTGTATTGTCTAGATTTTAAATATATTTCTAGGTACTTGAAACTATAGATGGAAACTACCATTGGGGATGAAAAGGACAGTTTAAGTTTCCATTATAAGGACGTGATATCACAATTTAAAATGTTATTTCTTGGTTTTTAAATGGCTCTCAAATTTTAATGTTATTTTTGTATTCCCAGTTCTTTTTGCACATATGGAACACAGCAGTAGTTATGTTGCAACTAGAAAAAAAAAAAACTGGAAGGCAGTGATACGTTATAATCACCAGAAGAAGAGTAACCCAGAAGAGTGCATATGGGGAAAACATAGTATGTAGCACCATCACAGCATCCTTTATACATTAAGATAGGTTTTAGCTATCTAGCTCTAGGAAGTATACCAGAAAAACTCGGGCTTATTCACTCACTCAGTACTTTTTTTGAGAGCTCTTTGTGGTAAGGGCAAGCTTGCAGTGAGATGATGAATTAGAAAAAATAGAATAAAAAGAGAAAACCTCCATGTCTTCAGGGACTTGCCCTGTAGTTCACTTAATGATGAATTTATTAATTTCTTTGCAGTTTTCCATTTCAATTAATTAGCCCAACTATATTCTGTAAGCCCACAGCTGTGCTGGGAATTAAAAGAAGAGAAGTAGGACCCAGTCTCTATCTGTAAGAGAAAATGAGAATATAGTCTGGGATATTATATCATTAAGTCCTAGAGGTTTTTTGTTCTTTCCATTCAAGGTTCCCAAATCCATCTCACCTCAAGGGAAGAGATGGTGTCTCATTCACTTTATTTTTTCGATACCTAACGCTGTGTCTGACACATGGTAAAGATTCAGTAAAGGTATGTTGAAAGAAGAAACACATTTTTTCAAAAATCCAAGGCTACGTCTGGCGAACATCTCATTTCCCAGGCACTCTTCCAGTATTATGCAGAGTCGAAAGTCTTCTCTGGCTTTTGACGTAACTACTCTTGATAAAAAATTAGAATACCTATTACCAAATGTTAGCAAATATCTGACCGTGATCACCATTATTTATTACCTAAAATGCCTCGTTTTCTTAGAAACCGTTTTTAAGTCTGGAAATTACAGAAACCAGAAGAAATATGATTCCAATTCTAATTTAATCTCCTGTCTGTCCTCTGATCGCTTAATAGTATGAAAATCTGGTTTGCTTTGGTCACATACTGCCAGGTTCAGGAAAATACACACCAAGTTTCTGAACATGGGTAAATCTATAAAAAGAGTTTCTGCTTCCATGGCCTGTACAGAACTGATATTGATTGTTTAAAGGTAGAATTGTTACAGTTTAATACAGTTACCACTTTTTTCCATGAATTTAATGGAGCCTGCAAGAGGAACCAGATGACTATGCAGAAAGATGTGTATCCTCTTTACGAGTGTGGGTGATGTCTCAGAAGGTAAGCAAAGCTTTATGTGAGTTGCAACCCCCCATGTCTGCCTGCTGATGCCTGAGCATCTTTCACCAGAAGCAGGCATGGGGTGGGGACTTAGGAAAGATGGAATGAGTTGGAGCTGACAGTTGGCCCCCAGGGACTGAGACACCCAGGATCTCAGGGAATGAGGTTCACCTCTCAACATGTTTGCATTGCTCTGTTTGGCAAACCCAGTCTGAGGGGAGAAAGACAAAGGTATCCCAGGGGATACTGACTGCAGATCACACAGTCAAGGGTGGCTACCGAATCCTCCTGTTAATTTCTGATTTCGTACTCCCACTGGGCTCTTTTGAAAGGGGTCCATATACTTCTCTCAAGGACAGACATGAAATTTTGTTTTAACTTAATTAATTGTTGAGGAATGAAACAGTTCCACAATCCCTTAGCTAACACCCTTGGGACTACAATTCAGTCTGTCCTTTTTTGGATTTTATGTTATATAACATCCCCGACAGGACCTGAGGCAGAACCCAGCAATCAAACACATGAATACTTCTTCTTCACTGAAAAGCACGAGCATTTGCACTAAGTGGAATAAAGATTACAAGTAGCCTCATGCTATTTCGGGCCAGATTTTGTCACCAGATGAATTGTGAAAAACTTTGAGATTTCATATAATTTGGGGCTTTGGAATTGCAAGTAAGGGATGGGAGAGCACTCAGCCCCTCCACACTTCTCACATTACCCCAGCCCTCTGCTCCACCCACCTCACCCCACCCCACTGCTGCTGTGGTACATGGTTCAGAATATTCTGAAGCATAGTCGTTGGTCTTATGCCTGCTTTGTCAGGAACTTACCGGAATGATGAAGGGGCCTCATCATTTTGCTGTATCCAGGAAGTCCTCATGTGGGATTCAGTTCTTATGGGTCAGGAATGTGGGGGACGGTCCCTTTCTCTTCCGTACAAATCTGTTGTGTGGTTTTCTCGAGCATTCCAGTGTATTGAAAAACCAAAGGTCTGCAGTAAGGTGGTGGTTCTCCATCCAAAGGACAGGAAAGGCACCGAGCAGAGGTACCAGCATATGCCAAGGCCCAGGGGTACAAACACAGAGTGATTTTGAGGGATTGCAAGTAGTTCCATGGGGCTGGAGCTAAGGATGGACATAGGGACAGGGCATGACTAAGGATGGATGTAAGGTCAGGGCAGAAGAAGAGAAAGGCAATGTAGAGAAGGTGGCCTTGGACATCGTATAAAATGAGCCTTTATTGGAAAGAGTGTGAGTGCCCTTGAGAGGTTTTAAGAAGGTGAAGGACATGATGAGATGTGTGTTATTTTGGAGATCCTCAGTTGTATCATTGAGGATGTGCCATGAGATGCATCACAAGAAAGGGCTTCTGGTTCTGCCACTCACAAACCAGGGGACTTTGGGAAAAATTATTAATTCACTGATTTATAATCATGGACAAAAAATTATTTTTAATAGGGTTCCAAATAATTTGTTACTGATTATATTAGTCAGAGGTTCTCCAGAGAAATACATAATATTATATAAAATAGAGTATATCTATTATGTAATAAGAGTATATATAATATGTTATATGAACAATATAATATATAATAATGAGTATATATAATTATATATAATGAGAGAGAGAGAGAGACTTATTTTAGGGAATTTGCTCACGTGATTGTGCCCGTGGGCAAGTCCAAAATCTGCATGGTAGGCTGGCAGGCTGGAGACCCAGAGAACGGTTGCTGTTGTGACTTGAGTCCAGAGGGAGTCTTCTGGTAGCATTTCCTCTTCTTTGGGAGACCTCAGTCTGTTTTCTCTTAAGTCCTTCAACTGATTGAACGTGGCCCATCCACATTACAGAGGGAAATCTGCTTTAGCAGAAGTCTACTGATTTAAATGTTAATGTGGTATGTATACAATGGAATATTACTCAGCCATAAAAAAGAATGAAATGATGCCATTTGCAGCAACATGGATGGACCTAGAGATGATCATACTGAGTGAAGTGAGTCAGACAGACAAAGGCAAATACCATATGATATTGATTATACGTGGAATCTAAAAAAAAAAAAGATACACATGAACTTATTTACAAAACAGAAATAGACTCACAGACATAGAAAACAAACATGGTTACTAAAAGGGAAAAGGGGGGGATAAATTAGGAGTTTGAGATTAACATACACACACCACTGTATATAAAATAGATAACCAACAAGGACCTACTGTAGAGCACAGGGAACTATACTCAATATTTTGTAATAACCTATAAGGGAAAAGAATCTGAAAAAGAATATGTGTATTTTATATATATATATATATATATACATATATGTGTGTGTGTGTGTGTGTGTGTATATATATATATATAAAACGGAATCACTTTTCTGTACACCTGAAACTAACACAACATTGTAAATCTATTATACTTCAATTAAAAAAAAGAATCAGAAAAAAATGTTAATCTCTTATAAAAGAATGCCTACACAGACATCTAATCCAAAATATTTGGGTACCTTGGTCTAGCCAAGCTGACACAAAAAATTTCACCACCACACCAGTAATAGTTGAACTGTCAGAGTTTGCATGCATATTGCTTTTATCAGTAAAAGAGAGGAGTTGTCCATCCGCCTCGCCTTTGCATTTCCAATACAGTTGAATGGGACCACAGCTTGTCTGGAATACCCTTGAGTGTATGCTGGAAAAAGTTGGCTCTAGTATTGGAAAGGTCAAACAAGGGATCTGCACCTTGTATTGCCTTCTGTGGAGATCCCTGTGGGCCTCAGCCCCTTTCTGAGGAATTTCTTACACTTTGGTCAAAATTCTGTATACCAAATGCCCTACTACCCTGGAAAAGTGGATTTACCTGTGCTGGCATCCTTGCGTTAACTTTCCGAATCAATCAGATCTTCGTTGGGTGGGTGAAGAGGAGGTGGGATGTGATGTAGAGAAAGGACATAACCATAGTGCAGACAGATGCTGAGGGATACCTGGAAAGACAGTGGAAGGCAAAGAGCATCAGAAACTAGGAGAAGTAGAAATCAGCAGAGGGAAGGACAAGGACGGAGGGGAGTACGATTACACCCGGTAGTGCGGTTGAGTCACCGTAATGATAAAGCTTTAAGTTGTGAGTAGAGACTGTCTGTGGTTGGAAAGATAACCTTCTCACCAGCTTGCCTCTTAAATGACCTAACGACCCAGTGCCCACTATATTCTCACTCCCCAAGTGTCCTTACCCTGAGGTGACCCATGGACTCCCACCGTGAAGTAACCTAAGTACCTCACCACCCCCTTGCATCCTAATAAAAGGCAAATTCAGAAATAAATGCTGACTTAGTCTCTCTGGCTCACTTATCTCAGCTGCAACATTTGGGATTGTGCCGGGTCATCGACAAAGGTCTCTTCTGCTGCAACTTTTATTTTGACACGAGATAGCATTGGGACCAAGTGGATGGTTGACACAGCAATGCTCTAAGAATATGAAAGAAAGACAGGTCACCCGTCTGGAGTTTTTATTCCCGGCTGCCCAGACCTCCACCTGATCCTACATTTGACAGAAGGTCAGCTGGAGTGTACTGTGGGTGTCAGCTAGTTCAGTCCTTTTGTGTTGCTGTCTCTGCAAAAACAGTTTTTTCTAAAAATGTGGGTGTTTTTCAACGATAAATACATATTTATTGCAAGGAGATGTAAGATGAGAAAAATAACATCGTAATCACTCCTACTATCTAGAGACAGCAATTGTTAATAAATTCAAGTATCTCTCTCCTCTTCGTGCTCTTTTCATCATGAACATTTTTGCCATGAAATGTTTTATGGAAATTAGATGTTCATAGCTACACAGCATTATGTCATGTGGATATACCAAAATGGAATTAATTCTCTTATTGAAGTTGCCTCATTTCTCAATGATTTAAATAACGCCCCAAAGAATATACTTATATGTAAATCTTTTTTGTAAAGAAAAATATTTATTTCAGAGAGTTATAATTCTTTAGTATGCTAAATATTACACAATAAAGTGTAATAAAATGGAAAGATAATATAAGCAATAGTGAGCCTCTTTGAAAATTTTTCTATAGTAGATTCTCTTTTGTGTGTGTGCATGGTTTTACAATTTTATTTCTAAAGGTCATTTTCAGAAGACAGAATTTTGTGAGTTTTAATACTAAGTGTAGGGACTTCCCTGGTAGCGCAGTGGATAAGACTCCGAGCTCCCAATGCAGGGGGCTGGAGTTCAATCCATAGTAGGGGAGCTAAGGTCCCACGTGCCACAACTAAGGAGCCTGCCTGCCGCCAATTAAGACCCGGTACAACCAAAATAAATAAATAAAAGATGGGTGGTAATTATTTTAAAAAAATACTAAGTGTACAGGATGTGTTAGTTTACCATATCTTTATGTACATCTCTGATACTTCTTTGGTATGAGCCACTGAAAGCTGAAGTTTGAACATTCATGGGTTTGACACCCACTGCTAAACTGCCACTCCCCCAAAAAGTTGTGTCTATTTACGGTCTCACCAGAAGAGACTATAAAGTCACCCCGTTTCCTTACACCCAAGTCAACATTGAGTATTATCTTTTTTTTTTAATATTTATTTATTTATTTTGGCTGCACTGTGTCTCTGTTGCGGCATACGGACGTCTTAGTTGCGGCATGTGGGATCTTAGTTCTCCGACCAGGGATTGAACCTGGACTCCCTGCACTGGGAGTGCAGAGTCTTACGCACTGGACCACCAGGGAAGTCCCGAGTATTATCTTTTTTTCTCTGTGCTTTTGTCAAATTGACATGTGAATGTGACATCTCACCTGAATTTGCATTTCTTTGATAATTAGTGAAATACCTCGCTCTTCATATATTTAATGACCATTTACATTTCTCCTTTCATGAATCATGTCTTGAAATCATTTGCCTATTTTTTTCTATTGGTGTGCTTATCTTTTTTCTGATTGATTTTAAGAGTTCTTTATATATGAAGGAAGTTATTTGTCTGTATAAGGTAAAAACAAACAAACAAACAAACAAAACCCCTGAATTTTCTCTGTTGCTAACGGGGGAAAAAGACTTCCCCCCTTTTTTCAAGGAACATTTCCTTGGAAATAACTACTATCTTTAAAACCTTCCTCTATGAATTTGACATGTATGTAAATCTTTTCAGAGGCTAAATAAGCCTCTTGCCAGCCTTACAACTCTGCAATGTTTCTCTTTAGAGCCTGGGGTTCTCTTTTTGAAGTGCAAACATTAATGAAGAGAGTGCCTCTAACTCCTAGTCACTGTGGGAGGTTGACCTGGGCTCCTTGCTCTAAATCTCCTGATTGTCATGGAGATACAAGGAGATGTTTTATTTTTCCTTCAAATAAAGGCAATTAACTATCAGAGATGGCTACCTCAATTACCGTGGGTATACTTAACAAATGGTGTGGTCAAGTCCTCTTACAAGAGGGGAAATTACTGTGAATCCTGAAAACCCGTGTATGATGGGTTGCATCTTCTAGGTTATACACAAAGGTGGGGTTTCTTTCTGACTTTTTAATCTCATTAGCATATTACCTGTGATGTGCCTGGCAGTCTGTTTTAATGTGAATTCAGTAATAAAACTGGTTTCTTTATTTTGTACATCTGTGCAGATTTCCAGAATAGACTGGAGATTTTACTCTTAATTTTTTTCCCAACAATTATATGTTCCAAGCTGGTTTTGCATTTTGTTTATTTCTGTGTTTCTGATGTGTTAATTGATGGGCCGATGTTCTGTATTTGCTCCTCCATCACCATGTGAATTGCCTTCCTCCCCTTTGAAGTCCCAAACCTCTTTTGTGTTGAGCTGAAGATGGTATTTAAGGGGTAGGGCTTGGGCCATTTCGGCAAGTTACTCAGTCTTCCTGGGTCTCTCCCATCTATACATGTTATTAAACTTTGTTTCATTTCCTTCTGTTAACCTGCCTCATGTCAAATTAATTCTTAGACCAGCTTGAAGAGCTTGGAAAGGTAGAGGAACATTTTTTCCTTCCTGACAACATTAAAGCACATGGTGGATTAGTTTGCTAGGGCTGCCACAGCAAAGTACCACAAACTGGGGGGCTTAAACCACAGAAATCTGTTGTTTCACAGTTCTGGAGGTCAGAAGTCTGAAACCAAGGTGTTGGCAGGGCTAATTCCCTTTGAGGACTGTGAAGGAAGGGTGTGTTCCAGAAGGATCTCTATCCTTGGCATGTAGATCTTGATGTCCACAATGCATCCCAGTCCTGTATGACTGTCTGTGTCCAAATTTCCCTCGGTAGTGTTGGATTAGGGTCCACCCTAATGACCTCACTTTAACTTGATTATCTCTGTAAAGACCCGATCTCCAAATAAGATCATATTCTGAGGTCCTGGCAGTTAGGATTCAACATATGGATTTGGGAGGAACACAGTTCAATCTATAACACACGGTGAAGTCCTCTATTTGTTATGTCAACAACTGGAGGTGACCATTGCCAGCAGCACCGAGGTGGAACCTCTCCACAAGCCATTTCCCCAGCAGACACTCCTGATGACCAAAGGAAAAATGTATTTTTAAGCAGAAGACTCAGTGCCGTCCTATCTCTCTCTCTCTCTTTTTTTTTTTTTGCGGTACGCGGGCCTCTCACTGTTGTGGCCTCTCCCGTTGCGGAGCACAGGCTCCGGACGCGCAGGCTCAGCGGCCATGGCTCACGGACCCAGCCGCTCCGCGGCATGTGGGATCTTCCCGGACCGGGGCACAAACCCGTGTCCCCTGCATCGGCAGGCGGACTCTCAACCACTGTGCCACCAGGGAAGCCCCCTATCTTATTTTTAAAGAGGCTTCATTTTCACTTGAGGGAATGGCCTTTACTACAGAAACAATCACTTAAATTGTTTCCTTCTTCACCTTGTCTTTCCATATCTGTTAATTGAGAATAAAATCTCACATATGTGGGCTCTGCATAAAATTTAGAGGACACTAGAAACCTTTTGTGTTAAAACCCTTAGTAAACCTTTATGGATCCAGAAAAACTGTCACGTTCTAACGTGATTAATGTGTAACCTACATATCTGGGTAGATTTTTCTCATTTTGCTAACAGACTGTGCTTGAATCGATTTACCAACATCAGACCAAGGATGAATGGGAAAACAATGGCACTGAGAGTTTTCCTTCCCTCCTGTTTCATACTGACAGCATGAGAAGAGGAAGAAAATGGAAGTTTCCAGAATGGGGGGTGGGGAGAAGGGGAGGGAAAGTAGCTGAGGAATGTAATAGGATGCAATCAAAGGTCTGTGTGACAGAGGAAATTGTGGGCTTATTTTTCTCCAGTGTAAAGGATCAGCATTCACGGTGGTACAGCTAATTCATCTGAAGTCAGACCTAGGTGTGTTGACTGAAAAAAAAAAAGGCACAACCTAAAAGTTCAGAGTTATGTTTTATTCAGCAGACTTGTGAAGGACTTAATCCTAGTAGGCAGCCTCTTAGATAACTCTGAGGGGCAGCTCCGAAGAGGTAAGGGAGGACCCAGGATACAGAGGAGTTTTTGTAGCAAAGACCAGGTAGTCGGAACATCAAAGGGTTACAGTTAATGAAAGAAAACCAGATATCTCAAGTTAAGGAATTTAGTGCTTTTCTATGTATGGGAAGATGCAAGAGTCTGGGCTCATTAAAACCATTCCTTTGATATGTACCTAAATCATCTAGGACCAGCATCTTGTTTTCTCCATCCTGAATACCCTCAGGGTGCATCGTCACGTGTGGAAAGGGGGGATCTTCAGTGGCTGACGGCTTGATGGATCCACATTCTTTGTTTACTGATATGGCAGGTGACATTCTTGGTCCACAGTTGGAATCCTACTCCTTCCACTTACAGGTTCTGCATAGTCACTCAATTTCCCTGAACCTAGGGGTGAGCAATGCCCACCGTGCAGAATTCCCGTGTTGATTTGCACATCCCAACACATATGGGAGCAACCAACAAATGCCCGATTTGAACCAATGGTTCATTTCCAGGAAAGTAAGGAAGTAAATTAAATGATTAAACAATTCCCTAAGCTGTGGCAAGATGTCCTCTTGTGCTCTTTTTGGTTGAGTAGACAAAGGGTTTAGTTTCCCTCGGGGATGATATCATGGGAGTGAATGTCACAGCCCAGAGAAGAAAGGGGAGAGTTAAAAGTGATTCAGGGTCTTACAACTGTTACTGCAAAAGCACTTTTCTGTATTTATAATTTTCAGGAAGTGGATTATTAGAAAAACCCAGAAGTAACGGCTCGACCGTGAATTAGCTACTTGATTGTTGTCAACAGAGGAAAAAACTATAATACAACTTAATCACTAACCGCAATGTGGTTTCTTTAAAGAAGGATCTTGTTTTGCTGGTTCCACGTCTGGAAAAGAAGACTGTGGGTGTAGGAGGTGACTGTTGCACACTGTGAATGCTTCTGTGTGGGTGCAGAAAGTGGGGAGGCTGGAAATGAAAATACTGTCATTATTTCTCCTTAAAGGCGAAGCTAAACAGAAGTGGGAGCCATTTGGATGGCTGCTGGTACAGAAAATGCAGTTTAAAAATAAGTTAACATTGCCACTTTAAATCGAAAACAATGCACCCTCCTGGATAGATTGTATTTCGTCTTTGCTTCCAAGTTTATTCTGTATAATGTAAGCAATAGTTCTCAATGTTTTTCCCTGTAGGCAATCTATCGTTGACTTTGCTAATCACTACGTTGCAGGAGTACCTCATCCTGGTAGCCAGCACCCTGGAGGGGTAATTAATCCTTTTGTCTTAAAAATATCCGGTTCAGAAACATGTGTTGAAGGGCTTCCCTGGTGGCGCAGTGGTTGAGAATCCACCTGCCAATTCAGGGAACATGGGTTCCAGCCCTGGTCCGGGAAGATCCCACATGCTGCGGAGCAGCTAAGCCCGTGCACCACAACTACTGAGCCTGTGCTCTAGAACCTGCGAGCCACAACTACTGAAGCCTGTGCACCTAGAGCCTGTGCTCCGCAACAAGAGAAGCTACCGTAATGAGAAGCCCGTGCACCTCAACGAAGACCCAACACAGCCAAAAATAAAACAAATAAATTTAAATAAATAAATAAAAATTAAAAAAACCAACAAACCTATAAAAAAAGAAAGAAAAAAAACACATGTTGAGCTTGTATGTATTCGAAAGACTGCCATAATGGGGGCTGTGGAGATGCCTGAGACATGACTCATGCCCACTAGGATATCAAACATCTTTCCAGGAGGAGATGGGATTCCTCACAATGGTGGGGAGAAGGGGTGACTGGAAGTGTTTGAGTTAAAATTTGAAGGATGGGTAAATAAGTTGGGGGAAGTCACTCTAGAAGGACCAAACTGAGCAAAAACAGGAAGTGAACAATGTCCATGGACGGAACAATTTAAGCCACATTGTTAATAAATGATCATCTCCACCTTAGCAAGGGGTCCTGTATAGTGACAAGGCTGGGGGAAGATACTGCGGGATGGGGGCCATTTGTTACATTCTCAAATTGCAGTCTGGGGCACATCAGACTGGACAGGAGCGGGAGGCGGCCAAGCGAGAGCAGACAGACCTTTACCTTCTCTGTGTTCTCCCAGCTGCTCGGCATTTTGTTTTTAAACAATGCTACTGTATTCAGTGTTAATCTTGTTTTTTAAAAAGCTTAAATCAACCATCCACACAAAATAACAGAACTTCACCTTGTGTGGGTGACTGCCTGTACTGATCAAATAACAACCTGCAGTGAACATGACATGTACGATTACAAGGTGCTATGTCAATGTCAAACACTTCCAGTATCGTTCCTCTGTCCCCACGTACGGTTGGTCCTGAAGTCTTTCATAGAGAGGAGTCCTGCACTGGCCCAGCTCTGAAACAGACCATGTACAGGAAAGGTCCATTGTGCCCACTCCAGGTGCCAGGTCTCTAGGAGTCCTCTTCTTATTCACAAACTAGGGTAATGTACGTAAGAGTTAAGGGAATGGGACTTCCCTGGTGTGGCAGTGGCTAAGAATCCACCTACCAGTGCAGGGGACACGGGTTCGATCTCTGGTCCAGGAAGATCCCACATGCTGCGGAGCAACTAAGCCCGTGTGCCACAGCTACTGAGGCCATGTGCTGCAACTACTGAAGCCCGTGCACCTAGAGCCCGTGCTCCACAACAAGAGAAGCCACGTCAATGAGAAGCCTGTGCACTCTGACAAAGACCCAATGCAGCCAAAAATAAATAAGCAAAAATAAATAAATAAATAGATAAATTTATACATATATATATATATAAAATAGGGGAATGTGCTTAGTCAAAGGCTCTTCTGTCCAAGGACAGGAGGGAGAGGATGAGAAGAAGAGCATCCTCGTGGCCTGACTAGAAGACAGAGCTATTGAGTCAGTGGGACGAGACGGGGAGAAGAGGAAATAAATACTATTAGACTTGTTTCTGTAGAACCAAAATCCTCACTGTTCTACATCACACAGAAACTATGTATTTTCCCAAACCCAAATGTAATGTGTTATTATCACTAAGAACCATTATTTTCTGGTGAGTCATTGCCAGAAATATTTATATAATTATGAGCTGGATTAGAAAAATATGGTATCATTTTAGACTTAAGTGAGGATAGTAAGATAGCCCATCAGCCTCTCATACTTGCTCTATAGGACAATATATTCCACTTTAATTTTCTTTTTATTGTTTCATATTCAGATAGGATAGGTCCATAGCTCAATAAATGTCATTTTCTCATTTGGATATAATCACAAAATGAGTACAGGTTTCAGCCTCCAGGCACAAGAATGCCCTGAATTTCATAGCACGAAGCCCCCGTACTATCACAGCCAGATGTGACAATATCATGTTCTATTACAAGAAATAATTAAGGTCCTCGTTATCCCTATTCCTTGCACCAATTTTCTTTAGAATGACTCTTTGCTTTTAAATTTTAGTCTAGGGCTTCCCTGGTGGCACAGTGGTTGAGAGTCCGCCTGCCGATGCAGGGGACACGGGTTCGTGCCCCGGTCCGCGAAAATCCCATATGCCGCAGAGCAGCTGGGCCCGCGAGCCATGGCCGTTGAGCCTGCGCGTCCGGAGCCTGTGCTCCACAACGGGAGAGGCAACAACAGTGAGAGGCCCATGTACGGCAAAAAATAAAAATAAAAATAAATAATAATAAATTTTAGTCTAAGTGGAAATTACTATCAATGCAGCAATATGAGATTTACAACAAATCCTTACCATTGTCTTGGACAATGAGTGAAGAAGGTCTCGAAGACTTATTGGTCCCCCATTCCCTCATGTCGTAGAGCATCTGATACCTGGAGAGAAGGGTCTGGTTCAAGGCCACGATGAATCGTTTTTAGCAGAACCAGAAGCAGAGGTGGGAGAGCAGTCGCGCTGATGTGAGCTGAGAGCGAGTGGGACGTAGCAGGAGACACAAGTGTGGACAAGTATTTTCAGCATCTTGTCAATGCAGGGGAAGAGGAGTAGAGTGGGGATGGGGGGATAGGCACGCAGGAGGCGCCATCATGTATTTTTTTTTTTTGGGGGGGCTGCGTTGGGTCTTCGTTGCTGCACATGGGCTTTAGTTGCAGCCAGCGGGGGCTACTCTTCGTTGTGGTGCACAGGCTTCTCATTGCGGTGGCTTCTCTTGTTGCGGAGCACGGGCTCTAGGCATGTGGGCTCAGTAGTTGTGGCTCGCGGGCTCAGTAGTTGTGGCTCGCAGGCTCTGTAGTTGTGGTGCACGGACTTAGCTGCTCCACAGCATGTGGGATCTTCCCGGACCAGGGCTTGAACCCGTGTCCCCTGCATTGGCAGGCGGATTCTTAACCCACCGAGGCACCATCATCTTTAATGGATGGGAGGTGTTAGGCTCCTTAATGGCTGAGGGAAGAAGGTGACAGAGGGAGGAAATGTAGACCCAGAAGCAGCAACACTGAGAGAAGGAAGCTGTCTGCCCAGAATATTGGAGGACATGGGGTCGGGGAGCAGGGTGGGGAAGCAGTCTGCAGCCAAGGTCAGACGCCAGCACCTCTTGCCTAGAAACAAAGAGACAAATCTCTTGCTGAGCAAACTAGAACAGAAATAAAACCTGAGAGCACACAAGGTCAGTACTGAAAATAAATAATCAGCAGCCAGGTCCGAGTCTGTGGCCCAAGAGTCAGTTGCAGGGTTTTAGGAGGACAGAGGACACTGGGAGCTGCTAGGTGATGCCGAGAGCCGAAAGGGTGAGATGCTGAAAGCCACAGTCCCCAGAAGGACATAAATATAGAGAAACCAAAGCTATCAAGGAGTTCGGGGCTGGGAAGATGGAAATGGCAACAAGGAGACAGCTGCTAGAAGGATCCAACGAATTCTGCTGAACTGTGTTTTCCTTATATGGGACTGGAGTTTGTTTGGGGAGGACCACGTTTACTGAGGATTGATACTCCAGAACAACCCATTTTTACCAATGAGAACACTTAAGCACACGGGGGCGTTAAGCTCCTTCCCCCAGCTCATGGTGATAGGTGGTGGGGGGAGGATGAGACCCACCCCTGGTCTGACCCCAGAGCCTCCAGTGTCACATGACCTTGCCTCCCAGTCCTACCAAGGTGACTGAACCAGGTTTATTCCATTAGACAGAATTTGCAACAGGAAGGAACAGGGGTGACTAGAACAACACGTATACAATCTCAGCTTACAGAGGCTTGACAAGCCCCAGCATGAACAGTCATGATCATAGGTGATGTTCCTATGGGGTGCTTCCTCCCTACTCCCGAGTGGACAGACCTTGTTTTAAAATACAGGTTTATTATTATTTGGGTATGATAAGCCAATGGATTAGGAGACAGCTGACATTGAAAAGGTAGGTTGTTACTCACAGTTCCCAAGAGGAGGGGCACACTGTGCCATGGGCAGGGGTGGGGGGCACTTGGGAGAGCACCAGGGTCAGTCACAGGCAGAGGGAGAGAGGGAACTGAGACAGGAGCTTTTATTGTGGTCTCTTTAAGAAGGAATAGGCAAGACAGGGCCAGGAGGCTCAGGTCTGGCTAGTTTGAATCATTCCAGGGCTCTGAGGCATGGGGACTGTCCCTGGTTGTCTGGTACCTGGCCCTGGGGGGATTAGGGCAGGGGGAGAGTGAGCCAGAGTGAGAGCCCAGTACAGGAGATGGCAACTACACAGTGGTTAAGAATCCACCTGCCTATGCAGGGGACAGGGGTTCACATGCCGTGGAGCAACTGAGCCCGTGAGCCACAACTACTGAGTCCGTGCTCTAGAGCCTGCGAGCCACAACTACTGAGCCCGTGAGCCACAACTACTGAAGCCTGCATGCCTAGAACCCGTGCTCCACAACAAGAGAAGCCTGTGCACCGCCAGGAAGAGTAGCCCCCGCTCACCGCAACTTTGTTGTTGCTGTGCACAGCAACAAAGACCCAACGCAGACAAGAATAAAAAAAGAATTTAAATAAATAAATTTATTTTAAAAAACACAATTATACCATATATATTTAAATTTCTGGACTCTGTAATCTTTTCCAATGATCTAATCATCTATTTTTATCTGTATCATAATATCTTAATGTCTGTGGCTTTATGATAATCAAGTTATATGTCTTCCAATGTTATTCTTTGTTTCTAAGATTGTTTTGCCTCCTCTAGATTTTTGCATTTCCGTGTAAATTTTAGAATCAGTTTGTCAATTCATGCAAGAAACCTTGCTGAGATTTTGATTGGGATAGTATCAAATTCATAAAATAATTCATGAAAAATTTATATATTAACATTATTGAGTCTTCCAATTCATGAAATATGGCATATTTTCTTCTACATACATTAGAAAGCCCATAATATATTTTTATCATTTTGCTCTGCCTAGTCAATTAACTTTTAAAGAATTTAAGAAAGAAAACTATAGTCTCTTACCTTTACCCACATGTTCACAGCTTTCAAGACATTCCATTTTTCCTCTGGTATCATTTTCCTTCAGCTTTAAGAGGCTTCCTTTAGCATTTCTTGTAATGCATATCTCCTTGTGACAAATTTCCTTAGCTTTTGTTGATCGGAAAATATCTCATTTGGCGGACATGTAGAATACTACGTTGATTTTTTCCCCCCAGAACTTCAAAGTACCATTCCATTAATATCCAGTTTCCACTATTTCTGATAAGATGTCTGCTATATTCTTATCGTTTCCCCTTTATGTAATGTGTCTTTTTTTTTTCTTTTTTTGTCCTGTTGCTTTTAAAGTTTATTTCTTTATCTTTGGTTCTCAGCAGTATGACTGTGATGAACCTAGCTATGGTGCTATTTGTCTTTATTCTACTTGGCTTTCCCTAGGATTTTTGAATCTGTGCATTGTTGTTTTAATAAAATTTGGGGAAAAAAATCAGCCAATCAATATCTCTTGAAACATTTTCTGTGTTCTATTCGTTCTCTCTTCTCCTTTTGGTACTCCAAATACTCATCAATTAGACTACTTGACACTGTTCCACGCTCACTAATGCTCTGTTCATATTTTCCCAGTCTTTTCCTCTCTGTGTTTCAGTTTTGATCATGCTATTGACTTACCTTTGCTAATCCTTTCCTCTGCTTTGTCCAATATGCCAATGAATTATTGATTTCCGATACTGTGCTTTTCAGTTAGGATTTCCATGATTTTTGTCAGTTTCCAAACATTTCCTGACATTCCATCTCTTCATTTACTTTATCTGCATTTTCCTGTCGACTTGTAAATATATTCAGCACCATTTAAAGACTTTACCTGCTAATGTAAAACATTTAAAGCATTTTTGGATCCGCTTATATTGATAATTTTTCCTATAGCCCATTGGACACATTTTCCTATTTATGTTTGTAATAATTTTGTGTTGTATAATAGAAATTGTGGATTATGTGTTGTAGAGACTCTATATTCTGTTATTTTCTTATGAGGAGTGTTCACTTATGGTTTAGCAGGCAGTTAAATCACCGATGGTTCACCTTAAACTTGTGAAGCCTCTGTTTTAGGCTTTGTTGGGAGAAATTGATTTTAGTTTTCCCCTAGTCCTAGGACACACCCCCTGGTCCTGGAACGCAGTCCCCATCTCTAAGGCACGTCCTTTCAGGTTCCATAGAAAGCCAAGGATGATACCAACTCCTGCTTTCTTGGTATTCCAAGCTGTAGTTCCCCTGTGATAGGAATTAACTGAAGTCTCTGCTAAACTCAGGCTCTTGGCTTTTGTCTTTCTGCTTGGCTCCTTGAAGTATTGCACTGAGACCAAGCCAAGCAGGACCCCTGTCTTGGGTCCTGTGTTTCAGGAGACCATGGACTTTACAGCACTTTCCTCAAAATGTTCTAAATCCTCCTCTGGTGACTGGCTGGGGCCAGTCGTGCTACCTTAGAGAAGTAACTCAAGCCTGGACTGAAATCTGCATGGACCCGGATCCCCATTTCTCTTTTGGGGGGCACTCCCTGTATCCCTACCATGCAGTGGGATTGACCAGAGTCCAAAAAGAACTCTAAGGCTTGCAGTTATGGAGGTACCCTGGATCCTGCAGCCAGACCCCGGTTCCAGAGGAACAGCCTGTTAAATTGTTAAAATCAGTTTGGGATTTGAAGGAGGAGAATGGAGAAGGAAATAAATCACATCCTCTTCTTAGAAGATTCATTTGGTACTGCAATAGTTCTAGGAACACTGAATAGAACTATATCAGGAGGTCTCTACCAGCCAGGCTTCAACAATAGCCACGAAGAAACTCCTCCATTATCTTTCTAGTCGCAAGTGTGTCCCTTGCTAGGTAGATTATACATATACGCAACGTTATTATTTTTTCTCCTTCTATTAGGCACATCATTCTGGGGACCTGGGGACCTGTAGTTGGGGTCAGAGCCTTCCTGTCCCCTCTCCTGGAGGACCTCCTCCACTCCAACCTTCAATGCCTGCTCAAGGACTGGCTTTCTTAAAAAAAGCTTTTCTTGGTTTTCTCTGTAAAAAAAAAAAAAAAAAAAAATCCATCCTAACTTTTTCTTCTCTAATTCCTTTTGCATGTGCTGTCCATCCTACATAGTTAACATGTTACTATAGTCCTCCTTTTCGTTTTCATCGAGTGGCAGCATTAGCAATAACAGAGAGCACAGACTTGGGTTCCAGAATTCCAAGATTAAAATCCCAGCTGTGCCACTCCTTAGCTGTGTCGCTTTGGCCAGTTCACTCAATCCATGTCCCTTTATTTTATCATCTGGAAAATGGGGATATAATAGTACTTTCCTCAAGGGGTTATTGTGAAGATTAAATGAATTCATACATTGTTCACATCACTAGCCAAAGACCACGAGAAACTCACCTGCAGTCAGATTTGGGTTTATTACTTGGCTCAGCAGTTATAAAGAAGGCGCTAAATAAATAATGACAAACAAAGGGAGAAGGCTCACCATGTGAGGCTCTGGGGCACCACACAGCATCTCCAGAAGAGGCTCTCAGGAGAGGCTTGTTGTTGTTGTTTTTGCGGTACACGGGCCTCTCACTGCTGTGGCCTCTCCCGTTGCGGAGCACAGGCTCTGGACGCACAGGCTCAGCCGCTCCGCGGCATGTGGGATCTTCCCGGACCACGGCACGAACTCGTGTCCCCTGCATCGGCAGGCAGACTCTCAACCACTGCGCCACCAGGGAAGCGCTATCTTCTTGTTTTTATGGAGGAGTCTTGTTCTATCTCACCACATCACAGACACAGAGTGACCTCGCCTGATGTTACTGCTCTGAAACTTTTTATAGTTAGCAGGTGACAACCTTGGTCTGGCTCAGAGTGCCAGACCAGCTACCAGCTACCGGAGCGGCTTTCTTTTCTTTCTTAAAATATAAGTTGTTAGTACAGAATATGGCACAACATAGCTAATGCTATATATCTCTCCATGTAGTCTGGGATGTGTATGCCTGTCTCCCCAGACATGCTATCATGCTATCACTTCACCCGCTTTCCATCTGCCACTGTGGTCACCTCCATGGGTACCACTTCCCGGGAGCCATCATCCCTCCCACGGGATGGAGCATGCCTTTACTATGGTCAAGCCACCACATTCTCATGGTCATTTCCACGGCTCATCCTTATTAAGTATGAAATCACACAGGGTATTAAGGTAGGCATTGTCTGATGATGACTAGACACACCTCCTCTTGGCACATCATGGCAAAAGTGAGGAAAATGTTATCTACCATGGTAGGACCTTACCTATCTCTGTATTTCCCACACTATTTCCACATTACCCGACAAATCACTGTCTATAGGAGAGAGTAAGATAGAACAGAATATGTAAATAAAGATGTTAACCTGCCACAGTCTGCAAAAGTACAAACACATCTCTCACATTTCATCTTTATGAAGGGATCAGGAGGTGCTGTGAGCATTACCTTTATAGCCATTTTCCTTTGACGCCGTTACTCTTCTCCCTTAGAAGAAATTCCTTCCTCAGAGGCTCCTATCGTGCAGCTAATTCAATTTAAGAATCAGGCTGAGTGCTAAAGGAATATTTCAGTCACAGCTCTACGTAGGACTCTGGTTGGCATCCACTGTTACTAGGGACCAAACACATCTAGTAAGACTCTTGGCTTGGGTTCCTTTCAATGCTTGTTCCATAGTACTTATGATGTCTATTTGTGAAAATGGGTATGTTAATGCTCAGAGGGGAAAAAACCAGAATATAAAATTGTACTTATGTATAATGATAACATGTGAAAACAAGGTAACCACATAGATAAAAGCCATTAAAGAACATGGAGAAATGGAAAATGTTCACTACTATAAGTTGTATCTGTCTATCTATGCAAAAAATAGGGAGAAAACTGAGTGATTATAAATCTGTGGGAATGGGCATATATCTAAATATTCTGTAACAGTGGAGTTTTCCCTGAGGCCCACTCCTCTCAAATCCAGCGCCCTATGTTCCCACAACCCCTTATGCACACGACTGTAGAAATATTGTATTCTATTTAAACTGATTTGCACAAGTTGAGCTTAGTTCCATTTTTAGAGGAAAAAAATATTGTATTACAATTTTGTATTATAATATATTATTTACATGCCAATCTATGAACTCCTTGAGAGCAGGTCCCATCTCATTTGTATTGAAACCTGTAGGGGGCGCACATAAGCTGAATGGGTGCTTAAGAGGCATTTGCTACTTAATGATTGAACTAGCTGCTCACATCTCTCCACCTGCTGGCCTTAGCCTTGAAGTTCTGGAGCTGCTTTGAAGAGTTCCCTAGCTTGATTTACGAGATACACTTGAAAACCTAGTCATACAGTGACAGCTTTGTGACGATAGGTTTAAGAAAGGAGCGGTGTCAATGACGCTGGTAGCTGTCCTTTCCTATAATCTTTAAAAATTTTTGCCCACGTGTCTCCTAAAATTTTTTGGAAAAACAAGTATTTTTAAGTTGACATCAGAAAACTTTTATTTTAAATTTAAATAGTTGCAAAGTATATTAGAGTTTTAAATATAATTTTAAAATATTTATAGAAATTATAATAAATTATTCTTATATTAGATAGTGTTATACTGGATATATATAAATTTAAAATAGTAAAAAATAATTCATTTAATTATTTCTGAAGGAGTATAAATACCACATATCCACTGAATTCTAATAAATATCAGAGCAATTTGATATCCTCCAACATACATAAGTATGTATATATGTATTTTTTTACAAAAAATTGGTGACCCCAAGATCTGATAAAAATAATTCTTCTGAATTCAATTATGTTTATAAATATTAATAGGATAATATCAATCAAAATAAAACAATTATATGTTTTGATAACTACTAAGTGGAAAATACAAATTTTTATTAGAAATGCCTTTTTAATAAGTTGGGTAAAGGTTTTTTTAGATTAGTTTATGTTTCCAAAAAAAAAGATTAGTTTATATTTCCAGGGGTGAATATTATAAATTGCTATTGTAAGGCAGTGTTCATCATCAGTGTTATTCCTATTTTCATATTTTATAGACAAAAATTAAGAAACACATATGCAAGTAGATGGGGGTAGAAGGAGTTTCATTATAACAACATTACTTTTTTAAATGTTCTTCTTCTGACTTGAATACCTAACGTAACAGTGATCAATCTTTTTATTTCTTTTTTGATGATCAGCTGACAAAGTGATTCGTTGCACCTTTAATATTCTTGAAAACAAAGTATTGGAGACCATCTGACTTGCAAAAGCATTTATTTCTAGTCTTTGGTGTCATTTCCTTTCTTAGTCTC